CCCGATATTTGCGGCGGTGCGGGAAGAGAACAGGTCTTTTCTCGTCTCCGGATTGCCGGCGACATCGTGTCTTCTATACAGCACGAAATCGTGCCCATTTTAGCTACTTGGTAGCAGGGCTGTGTTATCTGCGGCAGCTCTGCTCGCCTGAGCGCTGGTGGTCGATGTCTTCCAGTACACAGGTTGCCAGCGACCCCGCGGCGGAGGCAAAACGGACAACATCTCGGCGAAGAGCAGCGAGGGCGCCGTGGACGGGGCCCACATTCCCATCACCAAGTACTACGACACCATTGTCACTCCGCATACGCCGACGCGGGCCCTACGCGGCGTTACGCGCGCGAGGAAACTCCACCGCGCCACCGAAGGCCTCCCCTTCTACTTCGACTTCTTCCAGTTCAAGCTCAACATCTTCAACCCCAAGGCTTTCGCGCCCGCGAGGAAATTCGACCGCGACTCCCACGGCTGTCTCAATGATCGTCTTCCCCGCCGTTTTACGAGCGCGGTCGCGCGACGTTCCCCGCCGTCATTGGACGCAAACTCGCGTCCGGAGCTCCCTTGGACTATTTCAACGTTTCTCACGTTCGTGGACAAGCATCCCACCACCAGTATGTTATTCTTCTAGCCTGCACTAGTTTGGACCGCCGGGGGCATCGGTGCCACCATTGGCCACGTAACCCGAGAGCTTGAAGGGTGCAAAACACGAGGTGCAGTGTGGCTCCATGCAGGGTGCCTTTCGTGCCGCTTTTGGGTCAAAGAGGCACTCGCCTGTCAGCGTCCACTCAGGGCGCATGACCCCGCAACAGTAAGCAGCAGCACTGCAATATGGTCGCGAGGATCCTCGTCGCCTGTGCTCTTCTGACTGCCATCAGTTTCGGCGTCGAAGACAATGGAGCGCACGCGGGCTTGGTCACCCACGCGATGCACTGCCGACCCCAGAAGGTCATGAGCCTGGATAACGAACGAGAGCTGCAACAAGGCCTCGAATTCACCAGCGTTCGATTGCACCATAGTGAACGGATAGACCGTGCATTAGTAAGGTGGGACTTTGCCAGATTAGAAGCACATTCTGACAGGTTTGCCCAGCATATTTTTGCCGCGCTTGCGCGCGTTGCGAGTGTCACCGCGGGGGGCCGGTCACAGATGCAGCCTCTCAATGGCATGTTGCTGCGCGCGCAGACGGAGCATAACCACTCGGTGGATTTCATCTGGATGGGGCGACAATTTGTAGCGCGCCAAAACAAAGGCATCGCCCAGCTCGCGTCTTGACAAAGGCGCAATGTCGCACATCCCACAGGCGCGGCGCATCTACCAAGTAGAAGGGCAACTCGACAACCGAGATCAGCTGGGCGTGGCTGGGGCAGGATCACGGACGTCACAACCGCTCCGAGGCGCTTAAGGAAGCTTTGCCGCCTGGGTTCTACCGGCCACGATTCCAAGAGCAGGCGCGCCCTCGACCCGTCCGATTGGCACTTCGCAGGGAAAGCCCGCGGAGGAAGATTGTAGCGGCGCGGGCGCCATATCTCTCTTGCGCGAAGCTCACTACACGTGGGGCGACCACGCTGGCCTTCCAAACGCGCCCGGCATATTTTTTTGCCTCGGGTTGCGCGCAGGCGGCAGACTGAGGAGGCACGCGCGCAGGCACTCGCGCCGAGTACGTCGGTTCATGAAGCGCCGCCTCAGAGGCGCGCGCCAGTGAAGGTAAATGGGGGCCGCCGGCGATTCGCGGGCCAGGGCGCGGCGGCGCGCGTCGCGGCCCTGGACAAAGACGCCCACGAGGAATCATTCTTCCGAGGGCCGTCGCGGCAAAGGCCCGGGATGGGCAGCCGATGGCCGCCGTCGGTCGACGGGCGACGTGGCCACCCCGATGGAGTTCATGGAAAGGCGATGAATCGCCTTCGCCGCGTTGCGGCGCATCAGATCATCCACGAGCGCCCCCGCCCTGGGTGGAGAGAGGGCGCGGGCAGGGGCTGCGCTCCCCGCTGGCATTGTGGAATACTTCGGGGGGCTGATTGCGGACGACACCCTGCGACTTGCGACCTCGGTCTGTGGGCAAGTTGCGGAGGGGCATCGCTGCCAACGGCGCGCCATCAACGACTGGCCCGTGGGGGCGAGGCCCCGGCAGTCAGGCGCCAATGAGACGGATGCCCTACAGACGCCAAGACCAGCGCGGGAAGACGGACGGGGCCCATGACGCACAGCGCAACGAGATGGTCGACAGCGACGACGGCGACGGGCCAGACCTGGGTGTTGCGCGGTCACTTTAGCCCGTCTCTAGAGTTGCGCTGGATCCTGGCGCACCGCGGCCTCCAATTAATGATGGCCCTTGGACTGCTATTCTCCAGCCGCCTGGATTGGCTCGGCAGCCGGCCCAACGTCCTCGGGGCGCTATTCCGCGCGGAGGGCGCATATCGTGCGTGGCCAGCGAATGCCTCATCAACTTCGGTTTGGAGCTCTACTTGCAGCAGATCGTTTTTCTCTCTGGCGCAGCAGCATCATTGCAGGTGCCCGCCCGACGCACGTGCGATAGACGCGGAAGTTCGAATCCCCGCGCGGGGCGTGCAGTTTGCAAGTGGTGCATTTCTTCAGCAAAGAGGAGATGTTCGACCAGCTGGAATCCTGCGACAGCCAGGCCGGTCTGCGGGATCAAGAGGACCTCGAAGCCGGAAGGGCGCGGAATCATCCGGTGCATGGTCGTTTCAAAGTTCGAGAAAGTCTGGATCGAGAGCGCATTCGCGCGTTGACGCGGCGTTGTCCTTCCCGTGGCCACGTCGACTCCGCACGTCTTCCAGAGAGACGTTGGCCATCGCGATGTGGACCTGGATCCAACGCCCCCCCCCCGCGCGCCAACTGCCGCGAGGCATTCCGCCCACGGGCCTGATCGGCATCGATGCAGAAGACCTCTGCCAAACATTGCCAGCGCCCTTGTCGTCGCGATGCGACGCGCTCTACTCCGGGGGCGAACCGGCCCCATTCTTGCGATGCCCGCGACGTTTCATGAACTTCCGCCCCAGACTTGCGCGCCAGTGCATGGTGCCATCGGCAACGGCCCGGACTGCGGACGGGATGCCGTCGAAGAGCTCACCAATTACATCCCTTCACTCAAGGCATACCCATGCGACCACCCATAGGATGACCAGGAGGTTTTTGGGGAGGGATACGACGTCTTACTCAATCCACTTTACGATCGATCTCACGACTGGTCCCATGTGACCGGTCCCACTTTCGATGCCACTGTTGGTTTCGCACGCGATCTTTCCTCTTGGGCTCGCACTCGATTGCGCGATCGCTCTCACTGTCGATATCGTTATCGATCTCCCTATCAACGCATTACCGATTTCATTGTCGACCACTCGATCCCACGATCGATCCCGCGACCGGCCTTGTGACCCTTCCACCCCAGTAGCGGTTCCACCATCGATCTCGCAATCGATACCGTCCACGCTTCTATTTCGATTTGCCGATGGATATCCGAATCGGCCATTTCATTTATCTCACAGGACAGCACGAGACACCGCGTGACACCACAGGACACCGCGGGACACCACGGCGGGACACCACGGGGCAACACGGGACACCATCACGGGACACCATCACGGGACATCATCGTGGGACAGCATCGGGACACCACGGCGGGACACCGCTGGCACCCGCCAGCGACGCGGCCTCGGGGGGGGTGGCGGACTTCAGCCCCCGCCGCGCCTCGATTCTCGCCCGCCCGCGCAGCTTCACCGCGCACGCGCGACACGAACACGAAACCGACACCGAGTTCCCGGTGGGGGGTCCCCGTTCCGTTTCGTTCTCACGCTTTCATTTTTTAGTACGACCAGCGGCTTAATTGCGCCATAATGCGCATGACCAAAGTATTTACACACTCAGTACGGGATAAGGGGCCGATGTGCGCTGGCTGGTGCGATCGGAGCGGGGGTAGGTAGGGCTTAGAAAATGAAATCATGTGCCTCGCTGGCATTCTACAGGCTGTAGAACTCATCGACGCGCCAAGGAGCACAGCGGCGGATATGCAGTAATTCGATGCAGCGTGGCAAGTACGATGAGGTGGAAATCCTTCGGCCGTGCGTGAAGTTTTTTTCTCTCGGGATGCGTTCTAGCTGCCGCGCCTCGCCACGAACGGTCCAGGGCCGGGGGCGCCCGAGTCGTTCCGAAAGAAGGCCGCCAAAGACCAGAGTTATGGCCCGCAAGCCGAGCGCCTTGCCAGAGCGACGTGTCGGGGGCGGTGTTGGTGGGGCGGCGGGGGGTCAAGCCCGAGCACGCAGACTGCTGCAGTCGCATCGCACGCGGCGGCCTGCCAGCCGCACGCGGCTCGCACGCAGTCCGATCGGGTCCCGACTCGATCTGAGTTCTTGATGCGAGTTGGCTCACGCCTGACGGCGAGGAAGCGCGAGGAGGAGCCGTGGTAATGAATACCTGCAGGGAATCCACCCCTATGATAAGCACCCTGACGAGCGAAGTCGTTTGGTGAACGCACCCATCGAAGGAATCGAACAGGGCGGGGCCGCATACTAAACGCCCAGGGCCGTTCAGTAAGCGCCTGTTGTCGGGGTCGGTCTGGTTATTCTTCCCATGATTAAAAGGAACGATGAAACAGAAACATGTTTCGACCCAGAACAATATGCAACAGACAACACAGACGAGGAGGTAATTGCTTGGCCGATCGGCGCGGGCCCTCGCACCCCCCCTTCCCCCCCCACCCCATGGATTGGCTGTTGTAGGCGCCTGTTTCGAGCAGGTCGAGTCTCCCCCATAGGGCGCACTGTTGCAACCAGTCGTATTCAGCAGAGGTCAGGAGCCAGACCCCCCCCCCTCCCTCCTCCTCCTCCTCCTCCTCCTCTTCCTCCTCCCCCTCCTCCTCCTCCTTATCCTCCTCCTCCCCCTTCCCCTTCTCCCCCATCCTCCCTCTCCCCCCACCCCCGAACAATGCCGAAGCGCCGAAGCAGAAACCGTCCACGAGGAGTCTGGAGGTGTGCAGGGCCCCCCGCCGGCAGGTCGCCTCGGGCAAGCGGCCCCGGGAGGATCCGGGCGCGCAGGAGCTGTTCAGCTCGGCCAAGAGGCGCGCGACCACCGACAGGGCGCTGGCGGCGGCGCTGAAGGACGCGCCTTCGAGGAAGAGCCCAGTGCACAAGTTCGAAGAGCAAGCTCCAGGCCTCCCAGGCGGGGTCGGAGTAATCAGATGGGGTCGGAGGATCGCCCCGCATCGCCAGTGCATCGCCGATGCGACTCGATATGGAGCCTGGCCGAACAGTCATTCATTGTCATTGGGTGCGTGGCTGATGCGGGATTCCGCGGTACGGATTGTTGTTGCACTGTAGAGTCTTCGTTTTTCAGAAACATGATTGTTGATCCCCCCTGGTGCCCAGTCGTTGTTCAATTAAAGTGCTTCCCCCGGGGCTCGCACCTTGTTCTTTACACAGAGGAAAGTCTTGGGACTCAGATTGGCTCTCTGGCCACCGACTTACAACGATGACAACAACAACAACAACAACAACAACAACAACAACAACTACACCTCTAACTACAGCAATAACTACAGCTACATCTACAGCTGCAACAACAGCAACAAAAACAACCACTCCCGCCTGATACCTCCACAAAGTATGCCAGAATCGTGCTCTCGCGCGGGAGTTCCATACAACTTATGCGGGAATCGCGCTCTCGCGTGGTAAATCTTCGCAATGTTTTCACATGCCTCACCTTCGACACTCCAGGCTCACGCTCTCGCTCTGGCCGTTCTCACGATTCATTTGGGGATCGCGCTATCGCTCGAGACTTCCTCGCGATGCACGCAGGACTCACGCCTCAGCAACCTTCCCAGCCCGCCCGACAAGGTCTACGCCACGCGTTTTTTGCTCGTGGCCCCCCTCCTGCTCACTTCTTTCGTGCTCCTTCGTTCTCGCTCCCCCTTCGGTCCGTCCATTTGTTGTAGGGGCTGCGCGAGACGCACGTGACAGAAAAGGAAGACATCCCCCCTAGGGTTATGATGTCCCAACCTACTTTAGCCTTGATCATCAAAACGAATTTCGAGCGCCCAAACAAGTACCGAAACTCTGAGGTTTTCACGTGCTGGGCCCTGGGAGACACTCTTTCGACGCTGTTTCGTCACTATTTCGACACTCTTTCGACACTTTTCTCGGTGCCCCAAATTATTTATGGGATGTGGTAGGATAGGAGCAACATAACCCAAGGGGCCACGATCGAAGTCGAAGAGGGACGGGCAACGAGGGCTGGGGATATACGTCTTGACTGGCACGCGAGCCGAGAAGACCACGAGCAGTCCCAAAACGACTGCGGTTCAATTCTTCACTCCTCGAGAAGAGAGTATCGTCGACCCCCTTCTATGACCACTGCACTTTTCGGTTGCAAGGAAGACATGCCCCCAAGGGGCCACGATCAAAGTCGAAGAGGGGCGGCTACCGAGGGCTGGGGAGATACGTCTTGACTGGCACGCGAGCCGACAAGACCACGAGCAGTCCCAAAGACGATTGCAGCTGAATGCTTCATTCCTCGAGAAGAAAGTCTTATGTCGGGCGTGTCCCCCTACAGGTGGATTTCGACGAAAAATAAAACGTACTCCAAAAATGCCCCAAAAGGATCAAACACTACTTAAAAGCATAGTCCCCATATTATGGTTTGATTATGTTTTGATTATGTTGGGGGTATTTTGTATGTTTCGTCGAAAATCCCCCTGTAGGGGGACATGCCCGACTTAAAGAAAGTATCGTCGACCCCCTTCTATGACCACTGCATTTTTCGATTCGGGTGCTCATCCCGGGGCCCGCGCTTTTCTTTTGCTGCGAAGGAGAGTCTGGGGCCACCGGATTGGGCTGTTGGCTTCCAGGCTTAAAACAGCAACGGTTCCGTCCTGAGATTTCTTCATCATGTATCTCAGATTCGCGCTCTCGCGCGGGACTCGTCCGATGTTCTGCAGGAATCGCGTTCTCGCGTGCTACTTTCTCACACGGTGTTGCGGCGCCGCGCCCTAGACTCGGGAATAACGCTCTCGCGCTGGACGCCGAGCGATTTACTTGGGAATCGCGCTGTCGCTCGGATCTTCCTTCATGATGGGTTGACGCTTTAGCGACCCGCCCGCTCGACCTGGCCTTCTGGGCCCGCCCACCCGACCTGCCCGTTAGGATCCGCCCGGTCGACACGCCCGTCTGGTTCTGCCGCTTGCGTTCCTACTCCTCAACTCCTGCAAATCTCGATCGTTCTCCATCCGTTTCCCTCCCCTCTGTCTGTTTACTCCTCCCCTCCTTCCCCTGTTCTAGGGGCTTCGCCCACTACACGCGGCAGGTCGGGAAGGTATACCTCCAAGGGGGTACGATCGAAGACGAAGAGGGTGGGCACTGAGGGTCTAGGATGTAGGAATATGCGTGTTGAATGGCATGCGCGCAGATAAGAGCGAACAGGCTCAAAATGATTGTTGTGGTTGTCGTGTAAGCCTCAATTCTAAAGAACCGTCATTGTTGATCTCCCTTTCTTGTGAATATTTGCGTTTTTGAATTGAAGTTCTCCTCCCGGGGTTCGCAGGTTGTGTTTTTTGTACAAAAGAAAGTGGTGCCACCAAACTGGGTTGCGGGGCCCCGGACTATAACATGAACGGCTCCCGCCTGATATTTTCTCACGACGCACTGAGAAATCGCGCTCTCGCGAGGGACGTCCTCACAATCTACGCAGGGATCGCGCTCTCTCGTGGGGCTTTCTCGCAATTACTTTGGACGCCGCGCCCTCGACACTCAGGCATCACGCTTTCGCTGTGGATGTCCTCGCGCTTTAGTTGGGCATCGCGCGATTGCTCCAGATTTCATTGCGATTCACGCAAGACTCACGCTTCAGCAGCCCGCCTGCTCGACCTAGCCGGCTGGGCCCGCCTTCCCGGCCCACCAGTTAGGGTGGGTCTGCCCGCCCGATCTGCCCGTGTGGTTCTGCCACGTGTTTTCTGGTCGTAGCCGCCCTCCTGCTGATTTCTTTCGTGCTCCATCCTCCTCCCTCCCCCTTCCATCCGTCCCCTCTTCCCGTGTCGTCGGGGTTGTGCTAATTTCGCGCGGCAGATGAGGAAGATTTGCCCCCAAGATGGTAGGATCGAAGACGAAGAGGGCGAGAACCGAGGGTTTGGGGTATACGTCTTGAATGGCACGCGAGCAAGTAGGATCGAACATTATTACAATGGGTGTCGTTGTGGTTGAATACTCACTTCTGGCGAATAATCATTGTTGATCTCCGGAAACGGTTCCGCGCGCTCTCGCCTGGACGCCGGCTACATGTTCTCTGAAAACGAGGCTTCCGCTCGAGCGTTGGCTTGAGCCTAAATGTGGGCCCTTGGAGGCCCAGCTACGTCAACAATGGCTCCCGATCGATACTCACATTTGACCCCGACACACCCTGTCCAGAGAGGCCCCCGAACTCAGGAACGACGCTCTCGCTCGAGACTCCCTCGCAATTCAATCAAGTTGGCGGAGGCCCAGCCACGACGACAAGGTCTTCTGCTCGATACTTCCTCACGGTTTACTCCGAGAGCCCCTTGCCAAGATGGCCCCGAACTCAGGAACGGCTTCTCCCTCGAGACCTTCCCGTAATTCAAGCAAGTTGGTGGAGGCCTGGACACGGCGACAAGGTCTCCCGTTCGATATTTCCCTATAGTTATCCTGGGAGCCCCTGGCCAGAGAGGCCCCCGAACTTCAGGGACGGCGCTTTCGCTCGAGACGTCTTCGCACTTCAGTCAGTGGCCGACAAGGAAGAGATTCCCCCCCAAAGGGGGTGCAATCGAGGACGAAGTGGGCGGGTATCGAGGGTTGGGGTATACGGGATGCAAGACACGCGTGCCAGTAAGACCGAACAGTGTCAAACTAATTGTTGCTGTCGTTGCTTACGAAACCACTCGCTGACGCCCGCCCACCCACCCCCCCGGCGCAACGCAACGCAATGCATCGCACCCGACCCCGCGCCCTGAGGCCGCATGGGAGTCTTATGGGGTCTTCTGGGACCCCTATGAGGCCGATTGGATTCGTATAGGAGTCCTATAGGATCCTGTGGGATTCGTACAGTAGTCCTATAGGAACCTATGGGATTCGTATAGGAATCTTTCAAAAGGCTCAGATAGGATTCGTACAGGAGTCCTATAGTATCCGATGCGATTCGTACAGAAGACATTTCGGATCTCATGTGGTTCGTCTGAGAGTCCAATTGGATCCTATGGAGGTCGTATGATAGCCCGATAGGGTCCGATGGGATTCATATAGGAGTCTTTCAGGACCCCATGGGATTCCGTAACCAGTCCTGTAGGACCCGATGGGGTCCGTAAAGGAGTTCGATGGGAACCTATGGGATTCGGATAGGACCCCTATAGGATCCGACGGGGTTTGTATAGGAGTCCTGTAGAACCGTATGGAAATCGGATTGGACTCCTATAGGATCTGGTGGGCTTCGTATGCGAGTCCTATGGGATCCAAAGGGACTCGTTCATTTGTCATCTAGGGTCCCCATGACATTCGTATAGGTGTCCTGTAGGACCCGATGGGATTCGTATTGGGGTCCTCTGGGATCCTATGGGATTCGTATAGGAGTCATATAGGACCCGATGGGTTTCAACGAATCCGAGAGGAATCTCATAGGGCAGTCGTGCATTCCGTGATAATCCCATTGGCATTCAAGGAATCCATCGGAGTTTGATTTGGCTCAAAACTAATCGCACAGGAATCTTGCTGGAACCCGATCGGACTCCAACGAATCCGATCGGTTTATTGTAGGAGTCCTAAGGGCTGCAACGACCCCTACTGGGAGTCCTGTAGGATTCCTATAGGGTTTCAGCGAATCCTTGTGGAATTGAGAACCCTATGGTGCTTCAGCGAATCCTACAGGAATCCCAGAGGAATTCTACAGGGCTGAACGAATCCTATGGGAACCCGATAAGGTGCCAACGAATCTTGTAATAATCCAATACGAATAATACAATCCCTCAGGAAGCCGATAGGGCGTCAACGGATCTGATTGGGATCCTATAGAACTTCGACCGCCCTATTGGAATAGTGCGGGGGTCTAAAGCTTCAGCGGACCCTATAGGCTATAGGACTCCGGTCGGAGTCTTGTCGGTGTTTAACGAACCCTATGGGAACCCCATCGGGCTTCAACGAATCCCATTGGAATCCCATCGGGAATCGTATAGCTTCAAGGAATCCTGTGGGAATCGCATATGGCTCCAGCTAATCCCATCGGAATCCGATCGGAATCTTACAGTGCCTCAGCGAGTCCTATAGGAGTCTTATCGGATACCTATAGGGCGTCAACGTACCCGTTGGGAATCCAAGGGGGATCTTGTAGGGCTTCGACGAAACTTGTAGGAATCCTGTAGGGACCTAGTCGGGTTTCAACGAACCGGATCGGAATTTTACAGGAATCAGATCGGAAACATGTAGGGCGAATCAAACAGGAGTCCTCCGGGAAGCTTGTCGGAACGTGGCAAGGTTTCAGCGGATACGATCGGCACCCTATAGGAGCCCCATCGGGCTTCAACGAATCCCATATGAATCCTGCGAATGCCCCGCTACGCCCTGATAGGCCTCCGCTTCGCCATGACAACATCCGTATTCATCCTCATCATCATCACGACCATCATCAGCATGCCGGTCACCACCACAATCGCCATTGTCATGACCATTGCTGCCTCTACTACTACTACTACTACTACTACTACTACTACTACTACTATTTCTTCTACTACTACTACTACTACTACTACTACTACTACTGCTGGTACTACTACTACTACTACTACTACTACGACTACTACTACGACTACTACCACTTCTACTACTACTACTACTACTACTACTACTACTTACTATTACTACTACTACTACTACTACTACTATCTCTACTACTACTACTACTACTACTACAACTACTACTACTACTACTACTACTACTACTTCTACTACTACTTCTACTACTACTACTACTACTACTACTACTACAACAACTACTACTACTACTACTACTACGACGAGTAGTACTATCACTTGTATTACTTCTACTACTAAGACTACTACTCCTACTACTACTACTACTTCTCCTACTACTACTACTACTAATTCTACTGCTGCTACTACTACTACTACTACTACTACTACGACTGCTACAACTACTACTACTACTACTACTACTATTACTACTACTACTTCTTCTACTACTACTACTACTACGTCTACGGACACTACGATTACCACTACTACTACTATTAGTACTGCTGCTACTACTACGACGACCACCACGACTACTACCACTACCACGCCTATTCCCCCCACTACTTCTCCATTACTTTTGATATTGCCATTTTTACTGCTACTACGACGACTACTACTGCTACTACTACGATTACGACTACTACGATTCATAGTCGTACCACTATTATTACTACTACTACTACTACTACTGCGACTACTACTACTACTACTACTACTACTACTACGACTACTACTACTACGACGAGTAGTACGATCACTAGTATTAATACCACTACTACTATTACTACTACTACATATTCTGCTACTACTACTACTACTACTACTACTACTACGACTACTACTACTACTACTACTACTACGACTACTACTACTACTACTACTACTACTACTACGACCGGCTCTACTAGTCCTACTTCTTGTGAAACTACCACTACTATTGTTATTTCTACGACTACGACTACGGCGACTACGACTATTCCGGCGACTACTACTACCCTCTAGGACACCCTCGGGATCGGATGCCGTAGAGATTCCGTAGAACAGTTGTAGGATCCCGTAGAGATTATATAGGATTACGTAGGGATGCTATAGCATCCCCGAACGATTTGATGTGATCCCCGAGGCATTCTTTAGGATCCCCGAGGGAGTCTATAGCATCTCCTGAGGACTCGATAGGGTCCCCCACGGATTCTATGGCACCCTTTAAGGATTTTGTAACATCCCCTAAGGATTCTACAGGAGTCCCACATGAGTCGACAGGATTCCCTGTACGATTCCGAAGGAGTCTGCAGCTCCGAGGTCGGTTCGGTGGAGCGCGCACAGGTTGAGCTCGTGGGAATACGTGGGTTGCCTTCGGGATCCCGAAGGGTCCCAGAAGATTCCGAACGGTTTCCTGGGGTTTCTGGTGCTGGCCGTACGGCGCGTAGCGTTGTGTTGTGTTGCGTTGCGTTGCGTTGCGCGAGGGCGGGGGGGGGGCGCAGGGTACACCGGTCGATTGTCTCACTACATGGAGCGAAACAACCAGCCGGTGTACTTGGTCCGGGTGCACCAGCTGGTTGTGTTGCCTTGTTGTTGGTGTTTGTGGTGTTATTGTTGTTGTTGTTGTTGTTGTTGTTGTTGTTGTTGTCGTTGTTGTTGTTGTTGTTGTTGTTGTTGTTGTTGGGTCTTCGCTTCTTGAGAATCAGTATAGTTGATGCCCCCCCCTCTAGTAGCCATTTTACTTCGTTGTGTTACAGTGCTTCCCCCGTGGATCACTTTTTTTGCTAGGGAAGGTGAGGGGTCCCCAGACTGCGTCTTTGGGCCCCGAACTACAACAACAACGGCTCCCGCCTGAAATGTCCTCAACAAGTGTTCGCAAACCGTGCTCTCGCGCGGGACGCCCTCACAAGTTAGCCAGGGATCGCGCTCTCGCGTGGGACTTTCTCGCAGTTGATTCAAACGCCGCGCCTTCGACACTCAGGAATCACGCTGTCGCTGTGGATTGCCTCACGATGTATTTCGGATTCGCGTTGTCGCTCAAGATTTCCGCGCGATTCATGCAGCACGTCCCCTTCAGCTACCCGCCTGCCCTTTGTCCTTTCGTTTCATCCGTCCTCTCTTCCCCTGCCTTAGGGGCTGCACGAATTACACGTTGCAGGTAAGAAAGATACACCCGTAATGGGGTACGATCGAAGACGAAGAGGGCGGGTATCGAGGTTTTGGGGTATACGTGTTGACCAGCACGCGAGCAGGTGAGAGCGAACAATTTAAATGATTGTGGTTGAATTTGCATTAAAAAAGTAAGTAGTATTTATCCCCCTCCAGCAACCATTGCATGTTCAATTGCAGTGATTCCCTGGGCTCGCACCCTTTCCCCAAACAAGGGAAAGCGAATGGTCACCAAACTGGACCCAGGCTCCCGAGCTACAACAACAACAGCTCCAACCTGACACTTCCTCACAACGAACTCCCAATCGCGCACTCGCACGGGTCGTCCTCACAAGTTATACAGGGATCGCGCTCTCGCGTGGGACTTTTTCATGCAGTTGATTCAGACGCCGCGCCTTCGACACTCAGGAATCACGCTTTCGCTATGGATTCCCTCGCGATTTAGCTGGGGATCGCGCTATCGCTCGAGACATCCTCGCGACGCATGCACGACGCACACTTCAGCATCCCGCCTGCTCGACCTGGCCGCCTGGGCCCGCCTTCCCAAACCACCCATTAAGGTCTACCCGCCCGATCTGCCCGTCTGGTTCTGCCACGTGGCTTTTGCTCGTAGCCCCCCTCCTGCTGCTCTCTCTCGTGCTCAATCCTCCTCCTTCCCCCGTCCCTTCCATCCATCCTCTTTCCCTTGCCTCAGGGGCTGCAGCTACAGTGGAGACCCATGCCAAGAGACGCCCTGCTTGCCTCCAGTGTGCCACAAGTTTCTCGGCTGACCTGTGGCAGGCGCGACCCCCCACGCCAGAAATCAATGGACGTCCTGGGGTCTCAGTGTTGGATTTCTCGTGGAAGGTTTCTTGTGGTCGAGCTCCTACTGTAAGGCCCTGTGGCAGGGCGGAGGAGGAGGAGGAGGAGGAGGAGGAGGAGGAGGAGGAGGAGGAGGAGCTCCTACTGTAAATCTGGCGTCGCGGAGCGCGAGGCGCGACGGCAGCTGTCCCAGCATCTGCTCGGGCCTCGCTCCGGGGGCCTCCGCCCTTGCTCGCCAGTGGCCGGCCACGCGCAGAGGGGGGTGCAGGGAGGGGGGAAGGCCACTCCTCGTGGGGGAAAAATCGCACAGACACAATGAATCGTCGATTCCCCAGGAAATATGCGAAACTATGGGAAGTGTGGGGAAAGACGAAAACCCTGAAAATACAGGGAAAGTGGGGAATCCTGTTATTTGTGTGTGTGTGCATTTATTTGTGTGTCCCAGGGCCCCTTCAACTCCAGCCCTCCTCCCTCTGCTCCCTCCTCCAGCCCCTCCTGCCGGAGTGACCTTTGGTGCGGGCACAATGGGGTCCCCCGATCACCGATTGCGATGCGATAGTAGCGTATTGCGCGCCTGAGTTTGGTCCCCCCGCGGCCCCCCAGAAGCCGCGCGCCAAGGGTTCCTCTTACCCAGTGGTCACCCTTGCGTAGCCGAGGGGGGAAGGCCACTCCAGCCCTTAGGTCCCTGGAAACCACAGGGCCGTTTTTGTTACGGGTTCCATTTTGCCGTTTTTGTTGCCGGTTCCGCCGTTCTTTCACCCTTCCGGCTCCCGTTCCAATCCTGGAGCCGTTTTTGTTGCCGTTTCCGGTCGCCGTTTTTTCGCCGCTTCCATGTTCAAGGGACATTTTTCTGGAAGCGGTGAGAAAAAACAGCCCTACCGTTTCCGGGGCCCACAACGCTCCAGCCTCCCTTCCCCTGCGCCCTCCTCCAGCCCCTCCCGCCCGCCCATACGAGGCCGCCCCTGCCTCCCCGGCGCGCCTGCTGCGCGGGAGGGGGCCCCCCCCCCGCGGCGCGAGGAGCGCCGCTGCGCGCCGTCGCGGGAGCTGGTCGAGGAGGCGCGCGGGCCGCCTGCCGGCGAAGGGCCCCCTCCCCCTCGGCCTCCACTCGGGGGCGGAAAAGAGGGGGGTGATGACGAGGGGGGGGTGGATATGATATCTCTAGGCCTCCTAGATGGGGTCGGAGTAGATGGGGTCGACGGATCATTCCGCATCGCCGATGCATCGGCGATGCGGCTCGATGTGGAGCCCGTTGTGCTTCACGTCGACGTCGCCGATGCATCGCCCACGTCGACGATGCATCGCCGGTGCATCGCCAATACATCGCCGATGCATCGCCGATGTATCGGCGATGCGGCGCGATCCTCCGACCCCATCTACTCCGACCCCATCTAGGAGGCCTCTAATATCATGGCGGGGGCCATGATATTTCCCGAGATTTCATGGCACCTCTTCTTGTTTCATTACGTCCCTGGCCCCCCCCGCTGGGCCGCGCACGTGCCGCCGGTCATGATTTGCACCCCCCCTCTTGAACACCCCCCTCTTGGCCGCTCCCGATCCACTCGGGCCGGACGAAAAGGGGGGGATAGGGTTAAGTCGGGCGTGTCCCCTTGCAGGGGGATTTTCGACGAAGATCACACAATACACCAAAAATAGTCAGAAAATAGTCTGGGGACTATTGTTTGTTGCCTTTTTCGTATTTTGGGGGTATGTTTCATTTTGCGTCGGAAATCCCTTGTAGGGGGACATGCCCGACTTCAGGATAGGGAGAGGGAGGGTTACGAAATCTGCTGCATGCAGCTGGTTTCGTAACCCCCCTGGGGGGCCCATTCCTTGAGACAGGGCCGCTTCCGGCGCAGGGAGGCGCCGGGAAAATCAGCCACGTGAGTTGTCGGGAGCCTCGAGACGGGGGTCAGTGCAAACGGGGGTCAGCCAGAGCGCCGGATCTTGCAGGATCCTGCAGGGCCAGGGTCGCATTGACCCAGGTTTGGGTGCAGGATCCTGCAGGATCTTGCAGGATCCTTCGCATTGACCCGGGTTTGGGTGCAGGATCTTGCAGGATTTTGCAGGCCTGATTGACCCGGGTTTGGATTGACCCGGGTCAGAAGATCCCCGAAGCTGATTCTCCCCCCCCCCCCCCCTTCCCTGATTCTCCAGAGTGCTAAAAAATAGCCCTCCAGACCTATAGAACTATCTGGGCTGCCCAAAACCTCGACAGGAATTAAGATATCGAGGTCCTGGCGCTATTTTTTAGCCCTCCTGTAAGGTCAGGGTTGAGGGTTGTTATCACCCCCTTCCGCCCAGCCCGGTCCACGGGGGCAGGTCGTCGGACGGCCAACGCGTCCGGCCTGGCGCCGCGTCGTGTGGCCGTCGCTGCCGCGGTCGTCGGAGAGCCCCGCTTCGCGCAGCGCTCCAGGTCGCAGGCCTAGAGATTGACACCAACACCAATATCGGCGGTGTGCATCTACCGAGACAAGAAGATCCCGATCTCGGTGATGGTGGTAATATTCTGGCTTCCGAGGTGACGACCGAAATATTGCCACCAACACCGAAATCTAGGATCATCTTCCCCATGCGGAGGCAACCCCCTGTGTTGGTGTTGGTGCCTATTTCTTGGCCTCCAGCCAGGAGCCCGCAGGGCCCGCACCTCTCGCAGAGGCCGTGCGCCACAGCGTCTGCTGGGCTGCCCAGACGTGTGCGTGTTTTCCCGGCCAGGACCATCGAGGAGCACGCCTGGACCATCTCACGGATGAGCCATCGCACGAGGTCGAAAAGTGCACGGGGAGTGCACGTCTGGTCGACGGCAGGCTTGGCGGTGGGTTCGGGCTTGGAGGCTCGAGGTTTTTGGACGTCTCCGCTGGTTCTCGGAAGACTTCCAGCCTCGGGATGCGTCCCAGCAGCTGCGCCTCGCTGAGAGGCGTCCGGAGGGGTCTGGATTGTCCGTCTGGGGGGGCCCGGACTGTCCCGAACGGCCGCCGGAGACCCGAGTTATCACGCGAAACCCAGCGACGATGATCGAGGGGGCAAGCCTTCTCAGAAGGCGGCGGGCTTCTCAGATCAGAGGCGTATCTTTCCCACTACTACTTGAAACGAGGTGTGGGCGGGCAAAAATAACACGATGTCCGTCTGGGCCCCCTGTCTCAGGAGCGGCACTGCGAGCGCAATGGCGAGCGCGATCGCGTGCGACCCGCCGCTGGTGATAACGTGAATGCGCGGGCGTCGCGGCGACGACGACGGCGACGGCCACGACGACGGCGGCGTCTGCGTCGACTGTGACGACGACGGCGGCAACGGCGACGGCGGCGACGACGAACATCGCGGCAACGGCGGCGACGGGGCCCAGTCCCACGGACGAATTTGCGCCCCGCCCGCCCTCGTCTCTCGAGTCCCGCGCCAGATTTAATGGGAGGTGCGAGATTTCTTTGCGCAGTTTTGCACCAACAGTCTCTCCGCTTTAGTGAAGGTGCTGTTGCTTTAGTAAAACGCCGCCTTCTCTGAATGTATTGATCGGCGCGCCTTTACTAAATCCGCCCCTTCGCATCAGTAAAGCCGCTTCCTCGCTTAATAAGGCCGCCTCCTCGCTTTAGTAAAGCCGCTCCGTCGTTTTCGTAAAGTCCGCGGCCTGCCTTGGTAAAGCCCAAGGGATGCGGTGGTAATGCTGGGCCAGGGCCCGGTCGGGGGGCGGGGCCCTTTGTCTTCCCTACCAGCTCGCCCCGCGATGCACTTGCTCGAGTAATCAGGGTCGCATTGCATCGGGTCGCGACGATCCCTAGACATGTTCAGCGTGTTGTAGATGTCCCTTGAGAGGAGACTCGCGGCGCGAACGCAGGGCGTGGCTCGGCAATTCGGACGCGCCGCCGCGGCTGTCGCGCAACAGAAACAGTAGCACTTCATCAAAAGGCTTGTTTGGTTTAGCAAATAATCCCTTCAAGGTAATATTGTAGATTTTCCGCTTCCAATCAGAAGCCCCCGGGCCTTCGTGGAGGCCGTCTGTGTCTTCGGGGAATCGGAAGGCCCAGCCCTTCTGATTCCCCCGTGGGCTCGCCGCCGACTCGGAGGAAAGAAAAGCGACACCACCGCAACCACCACGCGCTTTCCGTCGGCGTCGCTGGGGGCCAGGAGCTCCTTACGACGGCCAGAGATGCGCCCAAGAAGCCCCCCGAGGCCCCCAGGAGCCCCAAGGAGGCCAAGAGGCTTCCAAGAGCCCCCAGGAAGCTTCCAGGAGGCCACAAGAGTGCCCCAAGTGGTTTCCAAGGGGCCTCCTACTGCTTCTGCTCCTGCTCCTCTTCCTCCTCCTCCTCCTCCTCCTCCTCCTCCTCGTTTTTCCCCCTCTGTCCTCATCCTCCCCGTCCTTCCCCCGCGTGTTCCCCGAAGGGCTGCCTTCTTCGAGGAGGTCCCCGATGCCTCCCCAACCTGGGAGCAGGGGTCGTATCGAACCAGGGGAGCGGGCGGGACCACTCCACCAGGGGGCCCCCCCCTGGCTACTGGCGCTGGGTGCGGTTGTGCTGGTTATCCTTGCTCCTATTCTCGAGGCATTCTAGATCGGGTCGGAGTAGATGGGGTCGGAGGATTGCGCCGTATCCACCTGCATCGCCGATGTGACTCGACGTTGAGCCCGACTTGCTTCGCGTCGACTTTGCCGATGCATCGCCGACGTCGACGGTGCATCCCCGGTGCATCGCCGATACGTCGCCGATGCGTCGCCGATGCATTGCCGATGCGTCGGCGATGCGGCGCGATCCTCCGACCCGTTTTACTCCGACCCCCTCAAAGAGGCCTCTATATATTCCCCTCCCCCCTCGAAAGTAAATTCTGTCCTTCGCTCGCTGCCTTCAGTTTGCAATTGCTTGGAGGTTGGATTGAGCATCGGCGCTGGTCGAGAGCAGGCCTATCCCAGCATAGTCCCGTCTAGGCTATTTCCGCTTATTCAATCTCGCTTAGTTTGGCTCGATCGGGCTTAATCCTGGGCTTCAAATCTGAGCTAGTCCAGCTTAATGGCTCCTCATTAGCGGGCGCAGAACGGTATAACACAAACTGTTCTGTCACCGGGGGCGCTGCCCCAGGGCGGCGTGAAAGTTTATACATTGACGTGCCACCGTCGGAGGTGAGGGGGTGAGATCGAAGTGGAACGGAGAGCCCCCCTACCGGGAAATCGATTTCGGTTTCGTGCGTGCCGTGCGTGCGGGCGAGGCGAAGTTGCGTGGGCGGGCGAGAGGAAAGTCTCCTGTGGCTGAGGCGCGGCCGGACCAAATGTCTCCCTTCCGGGCGGCCGGGGCCCGGTGTCCCGCTGGTGTCCCCTGTGGCTGAGGCGCGGCCGGACCAAATGTCTCCCTTCTGGGCGGCCAGGGGCCCGCGGTGTCCCGCCGGTGTCCCGCCGGTGTCCCGCTGGTGTCCCGATGATGATAACGTTGATGATGATGATGATGATGATGATGATGATGATGATGATGATGATGATGATGATGATGATGATGATGATGACAGTGATGATGGTGATGATGGTGATGATGGTGATGATGGTGATGGTGATGAACATGGTGTCCCGATGATGTTGATGGGAAGGATGCTGATAATGGTGATGTTGCTGATGATGATGGTGATGATCATGGTGTCCCGGTGATGATAATGATGATGATGATGATGATGATGATGATGATGATGATGATGATGAGATGATGATGATGATGATGATGATGATGGTGATGATGATGATGTCCTGATGATGATGATGATGTTGCTGATATCGATGATGATGACGGTGTCCCGATGATGATGGTGATCATGATGAGTATGTTGATGATGATGTTGACGATGTTGGTGTCCCGATGATGATGATGATGATGTTTATGGTGATGACGATGTTGATGATGATGAGATGACGATGCAGATGATGATGATGATTGTGCTCCGACGATGATGTTGATAATGATGGTGATGATGCTGATTATGCTGTCCTGGTGATGATGATGATTATGATGGTGATGATGCTGGTGATGACGATGATGGCCCCCCGATGGTGATAATGATGATGATATGCTCGATGCTGATGTTGCTGTTGATGATGATGATGGTGCCCCGATGGTTGATGATGATGATGATGATGATGATGATGTTAACGATGATGATGAAATGATGATGATTGTGTCCCGATGATGATGTTGATGATGATGATGATGATGACGATGATGATGATGGTGATGTTGTTGTCGATAACGATGATGACGTTGATTGTGAGATCGATTGTGATATCGATAGTGAGATCGATCGTGAGACCGAATGCGAGATCGATTGTGATGACGATTGTGATATCGATAGTCAGGTCCCTTGTGATATCGAGCGAATGATATAGATCGGGTGAGATCGATTGTGAAATCGATCGAGTGAGATCGATCGAGCGAGACCGATAGTGAGATCGATAGTGAGATCGATAGTGAGACCGATAGTGAGACCGATTGAGTGAGACGTTAGTTCCCCCCCCGAACCTCCGTATCACCCGAAGGGTGGTCGTATAGGTAAGGGTGTAAACTTTCCAGCCGCCCTAGGACAGGCGCCCCCGACAGCGAAACAGTTTATGTTATACCTTTCTTCGCCCGTTCACTTCAATCGGGACTACTATCCACTGGCTGTTCTTCCGAAGACCTCCCGGCTGCCTCCTCATCCCCCATCCCTCAAGAGCGAGCTGTGTCCTCTGGCAGGGGTATTTGCGACCCGACCCGACCCATCCGGTTCGATATCGCTTCGGGCTGGCTCGATCCGATTCGGGTTCCGATGTTCCGTCGATGCGAGGCGGCCCGATGATCGCATGGCGCGGCTGTGCGTCCTGGCGCCCGATCCGATATGCACATTTCGTTTCCATCCGAGTTTCCGATTCGGTGTTGAGCTAACCCTCTCTGTTCTGTGTTCCAGTTGGCAGTATCTTGTTCCTTCAGCCCTCCCTCAGTTCATGGGCCCTCCCTTCCCTCCCCTGCTTCGCTCTCTTTCTCCTCCCTCTCCGTCAGCCGCTGGCAGTGCGATTCCTGCAGCGGACTGTTGCACTCAGGGGGGGAAAGACACACACACACACACGATTGATCGTCGATCCCCGGTAAACTATGGGAACAGCTGGGAGTTGGTGGGGAAGACGAAAAAACAGAAGATCTAGGAAGACATGGAGAACCTTGGGATTCGTGCCTACTTTTAAGTCGGGCCTGTCCCTCTACAGGGGGAATGCCCAGAAAGAGTCAAAAAATGAGTCCGGGGACTCTTCGTGCCACCCTGTTTTGGAGCAATGTTTCGGAGCATCTGTTCCGTAGCTTGTACTTTTCTTCGAAGATCTCCCTGTCGGGGGAGACGCCCGGCTTGAGTCTGCTTGTCTGCGCGTCCCGGGGCCCCCGCGCAGACAAGCAGACTCGAGCCGGGCGTCTCCCCCGACAGGGAGATCTTCGAGGAAAAATACAAGCTACGGAACAAATAGGAGTATTTGTTCCGTAGCTTGTATTTTTCCTCGAAGATCTCCCTGTCGGGGGAGACGCCCGGCTCGAGTCTGCTTGTCTGCGCGTCTCCCCTGGCGCACCACGCTGCCGGGGCACTGCGGGCTCCTGGCGTGCGTGCCGGCGCGCCGACCCGCGGCGGGGACCCTCCTTTCGGGGAAGCGTAAGACCCGGGTCTGCCAGGACTCGGGTTCGTCATCGTTTTTTGACGACCGCGACTCGGATTTTGACGAGTAGGAATTTCGTGGGATGTCTGCAGCGGGAGGCCTCGTCAAAATGCAGGCTCGGCCTCGTCATTTTTTTGACGACCTCGTCGGGGATTTCCGAGTCCCCCGTACCCGGGTCTTACGTCTCCCCGATACAGGGGGGATATTCAGAAATAGAGGAAACATAGTATAGGGGGCTACTTTTTGAGCATTCTGCGACCCTCTGGGAGTACTCTTTTGAGTGTTTCTCATTTTTCGCCGAAAATCCCCCTGCAAGGGGACACGCCCGACGTAACCGATGCGACAGCGCATCGGGAACGGGGGAAGGCAGTCGGGGGGGTGCTAAAGTTAGGTCGGGCATGTCCCTCCACAAGCGGAATCTTCCCAAACCGTAATAAGTAGCCCGGGGACGATGTTTCAATTATGTTTGGTCACTTTTCAGTTTTGGTTTGGCTATTCTTCATTTGTCCTCCAGCAGTCGCCAGTAGGGCGCATCGGTTCGGTAGCAAATCATGGGAGCCTTGCATACCCTCTTAATTCCGTCTTTAACGTCGATTCGCGTCGATTGGCGTTTGGGAGTGGATGAGCTAGCGCCGATTTAGCGCCGGCTAGCGTCGATTAGCGTCGATGTAGCGTCGATGAGCGTCGATTTAGCGTCGACTAGCGTCGATTCGCAAGAGCAGACAGGATGGTACGGGAGGCGCCCACGAGTTGTCACCGAACATCGGGAACAGGGACAGACAGTCGGGGGTTGCTAAATGTGCCCCTGGCCCCACGTGCCCCCAGCTCGTCGCTCCATTTTGGAACCCATGGGGCCATATGGGCCTCGTGAGGGGGGGTCTCTGGCAGCGAGCCCGTGGGGGGAAGCGAGAAGGAGAAGGCCTCCTCTCAGAAGGCTCGGAAGTTCCGCCGCCTTCGAGAAGTTTTCTGAGCCTCCCCGAAGACACAGGAAACCTTTCAGAAGGCCGGAGGCGTTCTGAGAAGTTCCGCCGCCTTCTGAGAGGAGGCCTTCTCCTTCTCGCTTCCCCCCTCGCTCGCCGCCGAGCTCTGTATGCCGTGGGGGCCTCCTTGGAAATCCTGGGGTCACCTCGAGCCAGGGACACTTCTGTCACCGAGCGCGTTCCACTACTCGCAAAGTGCGTACTTGCAAACGTCCGAAAACAAAAAACATGCCTTCCCCGATGTCATACGTGGTAAATCTCCCGCGGCGGACCCAGGCCACTTGCGAGTAGTAATCTATTGCGAGGAGTGGCGCGCGCTTGTCAATTCTTGGCGGCACCAGAGAAAGCCTTTCCCTCTTCCGCCCCCTCTTCCGCCCCCTTTGCGCTCACGCGGCAAGCCGTAAGTCAGGCCTGTCCCTCTACAGGAGGAATATTCAAGAATAGTCCAAAGATTGTCTGGGGCCTTTTTTGTATGTTTGGTCATAGTTTGAGCATGTTTGAAGTATTTGCTTCATTTTTCATCGAAATTCCCCTTTGTAGGGGGACACGCCCGACTTAAGGAAAAGCTGGGAGGGCAGCGGGCCCACAGTCGTGCCCCGCCCCAGCCCTTCCCTTCCTCCCCTCCCTCCTGGGCTCCCTCCTCCACCCGTTCCCGCCCTCCCTCCCGCCCTCCCTCGCTGCCTGCCCCCTCCTCCCTCTCTCTCGCTCCCTCCCCCTCCTCCCTCTCCGCCCTCCCTCCCTCTCCCTCCTCCCTCCTCCCTCTCCTCGCGGGGCGGCCGCGGCCGCGGAGAGACGGAGTCAGCCCATCGCGGCTGGGGGGGAACCTCTGGGAACCCCCTCGTCCTCGCTTCGTCCCCCCCGTCTCCTCGTTCTCCAGATCGCCCCCCCTCGTCCCCACCCCGGCAGCGCTCCCAGCGTCGACCCACGCCTCTCCGAGTCGGGCACGTCTCTCTCCCGGAGGAGGGTGCAAAAAGAAAAAGAGATAGTCCAGGGACGACCTTTCTATACTTTTTGCATATTTCCACGCACTGCATTTTCCTTCCGACATGCCTGTAGGAGGACATGCCCGGCCTAATCCCAGCGTCGACCCACGCCTTCCCCCCCGCCCCCCCCCAGCCCCGGGCGAGGTGGCGCGGCGAGAGTGCTGGGCCTCCGCGAAGGCCCTGCTGGCACTGCCAGAGCTGGACGACCACTTGGCGGCGAGGCGGCCGCCGACGACGTCGGCGTCGTCCCCAGACTCGAGCAGTGGCGACGCGTCCCGGCGGAAGGTTTTTCGCTATTGTGATGGCCTCCGGCCCGCAGCCAATGCCGCCGAGTTGGGGGCGGCCGGATGTCTGTGCGGGGGCTTTCTGGAGGCAGTTTTGAAGCCTGTTGGGCTCCGTTTTCTGGCCTCTTGAGGCTTCTTGCGGGCCTCATGAATGGCGTCGTCCCCAGACCCCCATCCAGGCATGACAAAAACCACGGCGGAAGGTCTTTTGTTCGCTATTTCGACGTTATGAAAATCATCATCAAGGCGGGAGTCTGGTTCCCAGTCAGTTTCTTGAGTTTTCGGAAGTTCTTTGGGATGATGGGAGCCTGGCCCCGAGATCTGTGCGTCGCATGTTCTTATCCCAGGGCGTTGTCGCTCGGAAAGGGGCCTGGGGACTGTGCCTCACGTTCACAGCCCAATCCGTTTTGACAGATGCGGCAGAAGCATGGTGTCTGGGGCTCCGGTCGTGCTTTGCGCGATTCGAAGAACAAGAAACGGCGGTATCAACATAAATGTTCGACGGTCCGCACGGATCTCTTGGATTCGCGCTGGGGCCCCCTGGCGGCGCCTCCGGCGCCGCCCCTGGCTCGCTCCGCGCGCCAGGGAGTGGGCTCTGGCCCAGATCCAAGGAATCCGCGCGGACCTCTATGAGTTTATGTTTTTTGCCTTTTTTTTCTTCCAGCGATGTCGCATCTGTGCTTCGCAAAGAACCCCTAACCCGAATAACACGATGCAGACGCAGCCTCACCGAGGTCTTCGTCTTTGCCTCGAATAACCGATCTCGGCGGCTCGGTTCGAAACATCTGCAGAAAGACCGCCGATCCCCGCTGTTTCCGGCCCTCCGAGCTCAGGTCTTCCCCCAGAGCGTTAGGAGGTCCTCTTCTTGCGAATCCTCAGGGAGGGTGGTCTGCACGTCCGCCGCGCCTCGCCGAAGGCGCCCCCCGGGGGGGCCCAGGACTGCCTGGGCGGCCGGCTGGCCGAGGCCGGGGCCGCGGCCCGGAATCTGCACGAACGGAGTGGGTACGGAAAGAGCGGGTACGATGCCCAACAGTAAGTCGGGCCTGTCCCCCTACAGGGTTTTTTCGACGATGCACCAAAAATCGTCGAACATAGTCCAGAAATAGTCCAAACATAGTCTGGAGACTATGTCTTGAGTATTTGTTTGCCTTTTTGAGGCATTTTTGGAGCATTTTTCATTTGTTGCCGAAAATTCCCCTCTAGGGGGACACGCCCGACATAAGCCCGACAGCAGCTCCTGTTCATTTTGAACAGGACTCGCTGTCCGCGCCGCCGCGGCCTGTGTCCATTCGAGACAGAAGGCCGCCTCGCCTGCCCAACAGCGGCCGCTGTTGGTTTGGGGCAGCATTTGTTGTTGGGCGTTGTGCCCACTCTTTCCGTACCCATTCCGGGCGTCCGAAGATTCGATTAGGTTCGGTGTCGATGGTTTCCGATTCCGGTGCGATCCGACTCGGGGTGCCGATCCGGGTTCCGATGTCTCACTGGAGGCATACCAGCCTGCCGATGTCCGCGTTATCGACTTTTCCCGACTCGGCTGCCGACTTCCGCTGATTCGATTCATTTCGATCGCCGATCCGACTTGGCGACTCGACTCTGAGCGCCCCTGCACCCTCCACAGGGGGAAGTGGCAGTCGAAGCCCTCGCGGAAAAGCCGTCGTCGGGAATCCGAGGCCCGGCCAACCTCTGCCGACGTCGCCATCCCGCCCAGCAGGCGCCAGAGATCACTTCTCGGCGTGCCCTGCGCGCAGCGGGCCAGAGAAGACAAGCAACGAGCGCCGGTGCGGATTGAGGCTACATGCAGACATCGGGGGCCTCGAACAATTCGAGACTACAGGCGATAGTTGTTTTTTCATTGTTTTGCCGATCGGCGCGGGCCCTCGACCCCCCCCCTTCATGGAGCAGATCTTGGCTATTTTTGTTGCGCCTGTTTCGAGCAGGTGGAGCCTCCCCCCACTGGACGCACTGTCGCAAACAGTTGCTCGAAGCAGAGGTCCGGGGCCAGACCCCCCTCCCTCCCCCCCTTGCCGCCCAGTGTCGAAACGCCGAATAAAGAAACGCTATCCAGTCAACCCGCACAGCAAGGATGAGCAACTTTCCCAAGTTGCCCGTGCATCTCTCCCCTCAGGAGGGAGAAAACACACAGACACAATGAATCGTCGATTCCTGGGGAAACATTTGAAAATAGGGGAAGAAGGGGGGGAAGACAAAACCCCAACAATTGTGGACAGAAATTGGGAATCCTGTCAGTTGTGTGTGTGTATTGATTTGCGCGTCCCAGGGCACCTGGATCCCCGTCGGCCCATCCCTGGCCGCTTGTTCGCTGGCCGCGCCCCGCTCGCAGAGTCTCGAGTCTCCACGACCTTCCAGGGCCCCTGCATCCTGCTCGTGCGCCCTTCTTGTGCGGGTGGACTGGATCCACGGGCATGGGCATGAGCTTAAGTCGGGCCTGTCCCTCTACAGGAGGAATCGTCAAAAATAGGCACAAACAATAATCTGGGCACTATTTTCTCAGTATGTTTTGGGCATCTTTTGATTATCATTTGAGTTTTTGTTCGTCTAAAGTCCCCCTGGAGGGGGACACGCCCGACTTGAGCATAAGCTTCTGCGGAGGTCCGCGCGGACACGTGCGTCGGCGTGGGCCCCCCCTTTCAGCCTCCTGATCCCCGCATGCGTTCGCCGCCAACCCGCTTGAAGGGTCGATCGGCTGTCTCTCTTCCCTCCTCTCCAGAGGATCGTGCCGCGGCCCTGCCTCCTGGTCGTGCTTCCCGATCGTGCTCCCTGAGGCTTGAGTGTTCCTCAGGATTAAGTGTGAGAGTGCACTCTTGGAGCACCCTGATCACCCGAATGAAGTGCCTCCTTAGGATTCCTGTCTCTTCAGAGTCGGAGGCTGATAGACCTCCTTCCCTGACGCGTCGATTAGTGAATTGGCCGTTTTCGGTTTGCGAGAGGGCATCGCGGCCTTCATTTTTGCGGGTCCAGGTCCTCGGGTTTCGGTCCCAAGCCGTTTTCACTAAGGGGAGGTTTACTAAAGGGAGGTTTGTCCACCGCCGGGACCCAGGATTCCAGGGGCAACGGCAGGTGGGGACAGGCATAGGTCGGGGGCGGCCGGGAGGGGTGTGATGACTAGGGGGGGGGATATCATGGCGGGGGCCATGAGATCTCTCCCTCCTGGACGCTCTCGGATAGGGGGGGACGCATCGATCTCCAAGCGCCCGTTCAGCGCCGGCAGGGGCCCGATGGCCCCAGCCCGCCCAGGAGCGCGTGCGGATTTTGGCAGCCGGGGGCTTTCTCGCCGATCTATCTGCGCCCACGCCCACGCCGGGCAGCCGGGGGCTTTCTCCACGCCCACGTCGCCGATGCAGCATCGCCGACGTCGCCGGCGCATCGCCGATATATCGCCGATATCGGCGGTGCTGCGCGATCCTCCGACCCCATCTGCTCGGACCCCGTCTAGGAGGCCTCCAACTCCTCGGAGGTCAAATCCCGATTCCGCCCTGGTCCGAAATCCGGATTCCAAGCCGGCCTGATCCTGCCATATTCGGCTTACGCTCACTCAGTCCGGTTGAGTCCCGCTTGATCCACGGCCTGGCGTAGCTCGGGGGTCCCCAAAAGGGGCGGTGACCACACCGTGCGGTGAGTCGGTGGGGATTCGGGGTCACCGCACGGTTTTGGGACTCCGGGTCGTTCTCCGAGGATGTCTCGGGCGACTGGGGCCTCCGAGGTCCCAAGACCCTGCGGTGACGGACCGTGCGGTGAGGTCTTGAGGGATTTCGAGGTCACCGCACGGTCTGTCACCGCACCGTTTCGGGACTCCAAAGTAGCAGCTTCCCAATGGGGCTTCATCCTCTTTGATCTCAGGAGGGGAAACAACACACAGACACAATTAATCGGCGATTCCCAAAAAATATTGGAAAATATGGGAAGTGGGGGGGAAGACAAAACCCAGAAAATATGTGAAAACGTGGGGAATATTTTTATTTGTGTGTATTTGTTTGTGTGTCCCAGTTCCCCTTCATGATCCTTCCTCCCAAGAGGTAGGCTCGAGGGCTGCGCGGGCGTCCTCCGATCTGCCTCCTCCGAGCCGCGGCCCTCGGAGCTCCCGGCGCCCTGCGGGTCAGCGCGTCTGCGCGCGAAGCTGCTCCTGGGCCCGAGGGCGCCCCCCGGAGGCCTGGGGCCGGGAGATCGTCGGGAGCCTTGAGACGGGGGTCTCCAAACTAGGTGGTGAGACACCTGGTGGTGACCCCGATTCCCCCAAAAAATAATTCTGGGTCACCACCGGGTTTGGGGACACGCGGTCGCCACGAGGTTTTGCGTTTCTTGGGCCAGCCAGCGCTCGAAAACCATTACCCAAATCGCCCAAAACTCACCACCGGGTGTTCTCACCACCACGTTTGGGGACCACCAATTGAGACGGGGGTCGGTGCAAACGGGGGTGGATAGACCTCCTGCCCTGACACGTCGATTCGTGAATTGGCCGTTTTCGGTTTGCGAGAGGGCGTCGCGGCCGTCATTTTTGCGGGTCCAGGTCCGTCGGTTTCGGTCGCAAGCCGTTTTCACTACGGGGAGGCTTATTGAAGGGAAGTTTGTCCACCGCCGATGCAAACGGGGGTCAGCCAGAGCGCCAGATCTTTCAGGATCCTGCGAAGACACCCTCTGGCTGACCCGGGTTTGCGAGCCGCTCGTGACCGCGAGCGGCCTTGCGTATTGGCTGACACGGGTTTGCGAAAATCTGCGTTGCAGTTTTTTGTTTCCTGCGTTGCAGTTGTTTGGTTTCCTGCTGACCCGGATCTGGATCGACCCGGGTCAGAATATCCCCGAGGTCGCGCCGCGACCGAGAATCTGTCCCGACTCGCCGAGCGCGTTCCACTACTCGCAGAGTGCCTACCCGCAGGCGTCCGGAAAAAAACACACACACACACACACATGTCTGCCTCTGCGTCACAGATCGTGGACCCCTTCGGCGAGCAAGAGACCGCGCTCGTCTCACGACGCGAGGGGGTCTGGGCAGCTGGACGCACCCGTGAGAAGCGGCGGCGGCCAAGAGGGGGGTGATGAGTAGCTACGAGGGGGGGTCTCGCGTCAAGAGACCATGTGCTTTCCGTCAGGGTCCCCTGGGCGTCTTCGTTCCTCGCGCTGCGCCGGGGCTCCCCCGTAGCGCGCTCCGGGTTTCCCCTCGGGTGCGCCTCGTACGCGGGCCTTCAGGGCTGGCTGGCCTGCGAGGGTTTCTCGCGGCCGCGCCCGCACTGCAGGAGGGGAGGGGATGATATCATGGCCGGGGCCACGATTAGAGGAACAAGAAGTGGCATAAACATACAAACTCGGAGGTCCGCGCTGATTTCTCGGATCGGCGCTGGACCCCCCTCCCTGGCGCGCGGAGCGCGCCAGGGGCGGCGCCGGAGGTGCCGCCGGGGGACCCCAGCGCCGATCCGAGAAATCCGCGCGGACCTTCGGGTTCTTATGTTGATGTCACTGTTTGTTCCCTAGCGATGCCTCCCCGGATCTCGTGGCCCCTCCTCGTCTCTCGCAGGCGCGCCCCCTGCTCCCCCCCCCCCAGCGTCCCCGCACGTGCCCGGGGGGCTACGACGTGGCGGCCCTTCTCGGACGCCCCGCTCTTTTGCGAAGCCCCCGGCGGAGGGGGCGGCGGCGCAGAGTGCCTCCTCCTCCTCCTCCTCCTCCTCCTCCTCCTCCTCCTCCTCTTCCTCCCTCCCTTCCTCCCCCTCCCCCTCCCCCTCTCCCTCCTCCTTCTCCCTCTCCTCCTCCCCTCCTCCTCGTCCTCCTCCTCCTCCTCCTCCTCCTCCTCCTCCTCTCTTTCCCTCCCTCCCTCCCCCTCCCCCTTCCCCTCTCTCTCTCCTCCTGCCTACCCCCCCTCGGCGAGGCTGCTCCGCGCGCGCCCGGAGCTCCTCGCCCGCGTGGTCCGCCGTGCGCGGTGCCCGCGGCTGCTGGACGCCGCGCTGCAGGGCTCGCTGTCGCAGGCCCGCGCCAGGGGGGTGGCGGCGCGGCGGGGAGGAATCGCCGGCACGTTTTGCGGTCAACCCGGATAGTAGAAGGATGGGCAAGCTTCCCATGGGTACCCGTTGCATCCTTGCTTCCTCGGTCCATCCTGGGCCGTTTCCGCTTGAAGAAGCTTCGAGATGGGCGTCCAAGGCCCTTGCATCCTTATCGCGGATCCTTCTAGTACGGGCCGACTTCAGTAGGTTCTCACCAGTTCTTCAGTCTTGCCGAGGGCGTTCCTCGGGGATCTGTCCGAAGGTGTTCGGAGCTTTGCGGACGGTCGGAGGTGTGATGGACGGTCTGGGAGGCGGTCTCGGGTCGGGATGCTTTCCAGAAGCTGCGCTGCGCCGAGAGCGTGCGCCCAGATCGTCCCCTAAAGGCTGCCGGAGAGCTGGGCCATGGCCCAAAAAAACAGGGGGGGCCTCGCACAGGGGGAAACCCTGAGATCCTGGCGTTGAGGTGTTTTCGCGTCGGGCTCGTTCGCCCAGTCTCGGGCCTGGGGCCATCACGGCTCGATCTGGCGCGGAGCATTTGGCAGAAAAGTGTGAGCCAGGATTGTAGTCGTGGTTTCTCGCGATGGTGCATTTGTATATCACGTCGGATCTCGGGGAAGTCAGGGGAGGCGGGCTTTCTCAGAAGGTTCAGAAGGCCTCCAGCCTTCTGATTCTGAGAAGCTTCCTGAGCCGTCTCCGAGGACGCGGCTTCTCAGGAGGCCCGGCAGCTTCTGAGAAGCCCCGCCGCCTTCTTAGAAAGTTTGCCCCCCCTCCCTGTCAAAGCGACGCCCAGAGGAGTCGGGGGCGGCCAAGAAGAGGGTTGAGTCGGGCCTGTCCCTCTACAGGGGAAATCTTTAAAAAAACAGTCAAAAAATAGTATGTGCACTACTTTTGAGCATTTTTTGTCCATTTTGGAGTATGTTTGGGGTATCTTTCATTTTTCGTCGAATATCCCCCTGTAGGGGGACAGGCCCGACTTCAGTCTAGTCCGGGCGCGGTAAGGCCGGGTGAGTTGGACCAGGTGGAGTGAGGATGGGCGAGTTCGGTGCGGGTGAGTGAAGTTTCGGGGGAGTCATTGGGTGAGTTGAGCATCGGGGTAATTAGCCTGGTGTCGCACGGTTGAGAAGTGCCCCAGTCGGTTGCAATTGGTCCCAGTCGGTTCGGATTGGTCCGACATGCGGGGCAGCCCCTCACTCCCTTCATTCTCATCCGGGCACGGGAAAAGAGGGGGGCGACAGGGTGTGATTCTTCCTCTTCTAGGAGGGAGGGTAGCTGGAGGGGTTCTCCGAAGGGCTTAGGCGACCCGTCCTCCTCCTCCTCCACCATCCTCCTCCTCCTCCTCCACCATCCTCCTCCTCCTCCTCCTTCTCCTCCATATCCTCCTCCATCTCCTCATCCCCCTTCCCCTCTCCACCTCCTCCTCCTCCTCCTCCTCCTCCTCCTCCTCCTCCCTCCTCCCCTCCTCCTCCTCTCTTCCTCCTCCTCCTCCTCCTCCTCCTCCTCCTCCTCCTCCTCCTCTGGTCGCCTACGGCCCCTCGAGAAACCGTGCAAGGGGGGCTTTCGACAAAAAGGTCGGTGGACGCACCCAGGCGAAGTAGCACAGTTGCGGCTGCGTTAATTGCATATTTGCTTTGACGTTGCGAGTTGGGAAGAGGTTGACGGCCAGCGACGACACGAAACGCAGCGCCTGTATACGTGCAGGGAAAAAGCGTGACTTCTTTCAAATCTGGAGCTACACATTCACACACACACACACACTCACGCACTCACACACAAACAAGCACGCTCTCCCCACACATGCACACACACACACACACTCTCTCTATCACCCTCACTCACACACATTCACACACACAAACGCACCCACACGCAAACACATTCACACACTTTTTGCGTCGGCGGCTGAGCAGAGGTTACTGTTCCGGCAATGTGGCATTAGCGGGGCGCACAAAATGCATATTGCGCCGCGGTGCACACGAGAAAGAGGAAGCCCGGCGCGGGCGGGGGGGGAGAGGAAGCCTGGCCCACTCAGGCAAGTGCCGGCGGCGGCGGGGCGGGCGCCGGGGTGGGGATCCAGCGGCGGCGCCGGGGCAGCAGCTGGAGGGGAGGCAGCCAGCCCGAGGGCAGCCGGGCGCAGGCCCAGGGGGTGGGGAACGCGTAACATGCGAGGCGGCTGGGCACTGAGATCTTCTGACCTACGAAGCGACTGAACAGCTAGCGATGGCCACACCAGATGGGGGAGCCAGACACGTGGAACAACGATGTGGCTGCGCACTGAGATTCTCTGACCTGCCAAGTGACTGACCAGCCGAGGTGACCACACCAAAATGGGGGCGCTGAGAGGCGCTGGCAAGGGTCCAGCGACTGAGGCGGGTGGACGCCGCGATCTGCTGACCTGCGAGGCGCGGGAGATGGGGGAGAGGGGGCGGGCCGGGCGCCGAGGGGCCACGGCGGCGCTGTAGCGAGCGCGGCCAGGCCAGGCCGGCGCGTGGGCGAAGGGTTGGCCTGGAAACCAGGCAGAGCAAAGCGAGGGCCCGACCAGGGGACAGGCGAGGCCAGCCAGCCCTGAGGGGGGCGAGCAGAGAGCCAAGGTGGGAGCCACAGGCGGCGCCTGGACAACACCTGCAGAAAGCCGGCGATCCGGCCTGCCAGGGCAGGGGATGTAGCGGCGGGGCAGGGCACCCACCAGAGCGGGGGGCGGCGGCCAGAGGAGGTGCGCGGGAGCCAACGGCGAGCGGTAAGACCAGCCCGCCCATGGCAAACGCAGCGGCCCTCTGACAGGAAGGGGGCGGGGCGTGGTAAAACGACACGAAGATCGGGACAAAATCGGATCGGGATAACTCGAAATCTCTGAGAATCGGCGGGTTTGGAGGATGTATTGGGCGCCGCGGCCGCTCCAGAGCGTTCCGGAACGCTCTGAGAGCGCTCCGGAACGCTCTGGAGCGATTTATCCCGATCCTAGCCCTGTTTTATGTGGGTGGCAAAGCCGCCGAGGGACCGAAACCGCAGGCCCCGGGGCGCACGGCAGGACTGGCAGCGACGACGCGGGCGCAGGTCCCGGCGGCAGCTGGGAGCGCGCGGGGGGGGGGGGCGCTCCGAGCAGGTGCGGCGATGCGGCAAAGGGAGCCGGCAGGCGAGTTGCCGCCGACCCGGGGGGGCCGGCGTGCGGGTAGGCAAGCCGACGATCAGGGAGACCGCAGGCCGGGCGCGCGGGGCAGGGTGGACCGGTGGCAAGGATAGCCGCTGCTGGTCCCGCTGCGAGCGGGGAGTTACTGGCGCCTGGAAGACGAATTGGGCAGCCGAGCTTCACGCGGGCAAGGAGCGCCTGGCCTAGGAGCGACGAGGGGGAGCTGCGTGGGAACATTCAGAACAGGTCGAGGCAGGCGGGCGCGCCTGCCGCGTCTTAGCGCGCAGCTACCAGTGCCGACCGCGCGCCCCAGACCACCGCTGGCCTGGGCCAGGAGGAGTCGGCAGGGCGCTTGCTTGGGGGGGGTGCCCTTCCACTTGCCCATGGCACCCTGCGCGTTGAGCCTCCTCTTTTCCATCGCCCACTCACACTCAGCATCCCAGTCGACGTGGATGTCTTTCTACCGGCAGAGGGTGCGGACATCGAAGTTGGCCTGGATTAGGTCAGTTACAAAGCCTCGGCAGAAGTCGGGGGGGTTCGGCTGGGGTCCTCGGAGGAGAATTGCCCCAACGTGCGGTTGCAAATGGCGTTCCGGCCACTTGTCGGCATGGGGCCGCATTCTTTTTTTAGGCGGTTGACTACCTCCTGCCAGGACTCGTTCTAGTTCCAGCCAGGTTGCCACAGTACCTCTCCTCGCGGCCTGAAGTAGAGCAGGCCCAAGGCATCGCTACGGGGGGCCTAGTCGCGAGGGGGAACTGAGGCGCGACGGGGGTGGTCGACCCAGCGTTGTGGCGGGGCCTGGTCCATCTCGTCTCTGCCGTGACCCTTGCTGAGAGCCCCCGGATTATGCTGGTCGTCGGCATGGGGGGTCTTACGGACAAGCTCTTCTCCGCCGCCTCCAGAGGTGCCCCCGTCGGACGGCTCAACCTGCAGCGCCTGCCCGCTGTCGGGGCTGGGTGACGGGAGCGTGTCTCTGGGCATCAGCGGAGAGCCGTTCAGACTGGGCTGCCTCTCGCCGTGGCGGCCAAGCGCGGGGCTGTCAAGGGGGCGTCACTCCTGAGGGCTCCAGTCGCAGCAGGCCGAGTTGGAGCGAGCGCGCGACGCAGCGGGTGGGCTGGGGGAGTTGCTGTCGCGCCGCTTGCGGGTCGCCCCCTGGGGAGGTCACCGGGCGCTTCAGACAGCCGCGCGCGCCCACCCTCGCTGCCAGTGGGTGACGACCAGGACAGGCCAGCCACAACTAGGGGAGCTGTGGTCCTTACCCCCCTGGGGGACCCATCGATTTCGACACCTCTCTCGAGAGATCGTCGATGCGAAGGGTTCCCCCAGGGGGGTAAGGACCACAGCTCCCCCATTTATGGCTGGTCGGCAGGACCTCCGCGACGGGTGGGCTGGGCTGCAGTCGAGCTGCTCGTTCGCCTCGCGCTTTTGGGGTGCGGGGGAGGCGGAGGCAACGCGAGCCTCGGAATACAGTCGGGGCGCTAAGCAAGGAACCCTTACGTGTTTCGCAGCTTGCCTCAGGCTTTCCTTATGTTTTCGATGGGGAATCGAAGTTTAACTTATGGAAAAAAGGGGCCTCGTTCCTGATTTAGGGTTCCTTAGGTCAACGCCCCGACTGTAGGGTCTTGAGCAGGGTCGCTGGACTGGCCGCTCCCTCCGCCCACCCTTGTGCAATCGCCCTGGGGGTGGGCAGGTGGAGCGCGCGTGGGAGCACTGCTGAGAGGGTCTGCCTCCTTCTCGCCACAGTAGCCCGAAGCTCGGCGCTCTGTGGGTCCTGAAGGCTCCGGGTGTCTCTCGACCTCAGGCAGCCAAGCAGTATCTACTGGCTGTACCACACAGGGTCTCGTCCTTCCGTGGAGGCCTGGGGGTTTCGCTCGATGCCTAGGCGCGGTCCCGGGGAATACAAGACGTCCATCCCTCTCGAGCACTGCGTTGACCTGGCTCGGGCAGGCACCCCACAGGTGCACGAGGCAATCTTCGCAGAACCAGGTAGCATTCCGATGCATGCTGGCGAACAGCTGGGCCCGGAAGTGAAAGGGCGGGAGCCCGTGTGAGGGCTCGACCTGGGTTTCTCTCCTGAGGCGGAAGATGGATGTGCCAAGCGGTGCATCGCCGCATTGCCATTGCCTTGGTGGGGGGGTCGCTCGGGCACCAGTCGCATGAACACTTCCGCTGGCCGCAGCGGAGGTGCTTGGCAAGCTTAGCGTCGATGGTGCGGATGATGGGAATGGTAGTACAGTCGGGGCCCTGAAGAAGGAACGCTTTTCGTTGAGGAGGGGCTCCGCGTTCCTTAAGTTTTTCGCAGCTTGCCTCCGGTTTTCCTTATGTTTCCTCGGGGACCAGGAGCTGATCCGCCAGGGGGGTGTCTGCGTTGGCGAGCTCTGGGCCGGGGGGCAGCGCAGGACGGTGGGCGCGCAGGACGGTGGGCTTTGCGTCGACTGCTTCCAGGTGCGCCGCCATCTCGTCGTTTGTCGGCGCAGGCAGCCCTTCGGCCGAAAGGGTGGTTTTCCAACAGGCACAGCGATGCCACCGGCAGTCCATCCCCATTCGGTAGCACTGAAGCCAGCTTGCGGCGACCGTTCTCCTGATCGTGGGGTCCACCCAGGTGCCTCCGGTTTCCCTCTGGGGGTTGACAGGGCCTTGCCCGCATTCGTCGCAGTAGATGCGTGGGGGTCGTACGGATGGCTGGAAGCGATTTTGTTGTACTCGCCGAAGAGGGGGGGAGACAGTGCAGCGCCTGGTAGCGCGCCTGTCGGGGGGCTGCGAATAGACCCTCTCCTGCCCCTGAGAGTCCTCCTCCGAGGTATTGCGTGGTGGCGGACTGATGGTCTTCTGGTGGGAGATCCACTGTAGACCCGAGGAGGGACTGGGATAGATCACAAACTGCGCAGCTGTGGGTCTGCCCGCAAGGGCCGGCCAAGGGCCTGGAGTGTGAACTTCAGAGGGAAGTCTCTTACGGAGGCTTCCTCACTCACACCCTCACGCACAAAACACACACACTCATATTCACCCATGCACACACAGGCACTCACACACATGCTCTCTCTGTCTCTCTCTCTCTCTTTCTTTCTCTCACGCGCACACACGCACACACACACACACACACACGCACGCACGCACGCACGCACGCACGCACGCACGCACGCACGCACGCACGCACGCACGCACGCACGCACACACACACACACACACACACACACACACACGCACGCACACGCACACACACACACACACACACACACACACTTTTCCCACGCCAGGATGAGATCACGCGGCGAGTCTAGTGGAATGCGTAATGTTTTTGTTCGCGGCGTCACCGTGCTAGGGGCAGAACAGAATTTGTTCCGCCTCCAATGCTTTCCAAGTGGCCAGTAGATTGGAGTGCTATGTTTTCGCCCCCATCCAGGTGTTGGCCCGTGGCGACTAGGAGTGGGTTCGTATGTTTATCCGCCCTTCGGCGTTGCCGCATGACGAGTAGAGTGCAGTAGTAGTTTTGATTCGCCTCCCACGCGTTGTCGCGTGGCGTGTCGAGCGGACCATTTTCTTTTCGCCATGTGGCGTCGCTGCTCCGCGCGTCCGTCGGCCCGCGCAGACTTCGTGCCCGGGACGTCGGTTCCCAGGCGGTGGATATCGCAGCCCGCGCTGGCAACTTGCAGTCCGCGCTTTTCAACTTGCGCGGGTGGCAGGAACGGGCTTCCCATCGCGGTGCGAGTGCGGGGTTGATCGTGTTAGGCGGATTGATTTTGTGTCCGCGGCGAGGTCGGAACGGGGCGTTGAACGGGGTGGCATAGTGGGAGGGGTTCACTGAACGATTCGGCGAATTCCCCGACTGGGTCAACTTGGCTACGTTGGCGAACCGCGTTGTGGGTCGGAGTGCCATTTGCGCGTGGTGGTTACACGCGACGGGAGTCGTTCTGGGGCTGTCTTGTCGGCCGGGATGGGGTTCCACCCGGCGCTGTTTGCCAAACTGGAGGTGTATTCAGTGGCTTTGATTCATCCCATCCCGCCACCCCGTAATTGGATCGTCGACATTGGGCCAGGACCACTGCCGATGGTGTGTCATGGGGAGGGCCGAGTAGAGGACGGGAAGAACGTGAGGATGCTTGACAGCATTTCTTGTTCGTTCTGAGCAGGGTTCGCGATCAGTTTCGTTGCGAACATGGTCCGTTTAGTGGCGATCACCGCCTTCCCAACAGCAGCCGCTTTCCAATTCCGTCGACATATATTGGTGGGAATCGTTCCCGTTTGTGGTGTCCCCATTTCGGGCGTGCTAGTATCTATCCGTATGGAGCTCGAGAAGAACATTGGCTTATCTCTTCTGCCAGAGCAAGAAGCAGTAGTTGCGGTAGTTGCCAGAAGCAGTTGGAAGCCAGAAGCAACACGAGGGCAGTTCCGAAGCCGGCGGAAGTTCGACGCAAGCTAACGGAAGCAAAAGTTGGTACCCAAAGATAATGCCAAGGTGTTGGTGACCAGTCGTAACCTCGTTCCAGAGATTTCAGCAAACCTTCGGCCCGTTGGGCTGGCGACCTTTGTATATTTCCACCTGGATCACAATTTACCAGAAGAGCATTCCTGCTTCAATCCCCGAGGCAATCTTCACCTTTCTCTTGCGAGCGGCCAAGGCTCCGACGGGTTGCTTCTGTTCGATTCCATCCTGTTGCTCCAGGCGCCTCTTTCGACCGCTCGACCACCGCCGCAGTGCGGGCTTTTGCGCACCAGAATTCAGTCGGGCATGTCCCTCTACAGCAGAAATACTCAAACATAGTGACAACAAATCCTGGAGATTTGGGTATGCTTTGACAATGCTTTATTCGTCTTCCGAATTCCGCCTGTAGGAGGATATGCCCGACCTAACCCCAGATCCTTCTTTGAGGGCCCCCAGGCCCAGAAGCGACACCTCGACGCTGAGATCGGAAGGAAGAGCGCGCCAAACGAGAGGCTTGCGGTGGTGTAGCGCAGAACAGAAGCCGCACAACATCAGCCAGAAGCATATGAACGACGCAAGAACATGAATTCGTCTTCGCCGACATGTGCGCGTAAGCTGCCCGCGTGAGTTCGCGCGTGAGCGCCCTTTTCTCCATTGTGGCATGCCGCGCTGGCGGCCCGCGTAAGCCAACGCGTAAGGTCGCTTTGCCATCTCGCGAAAGACCAGTTTTTGATAGACGCTCATGTGTGTCGTTGTGGGGATCGTTCCTCCCAACCCGCTCTTCGACAGGAGGCAGCCTTTGACTGTCTTGAAGACTTGCCTTTCGCTCCCTCCCCATCCCCTCTTTGCTCGGCCTGCTTACTGCATGTCTCCCCTGCCCTTCCCCCTGTTGGCATGTGCACTGAGTCGTGAATCCGTTATCGCCTCCTCGTGGTCCTCTCTGAAGGCCAGCGCGCCTTGCAGTGCGCCCGTCGCCCAGCCATGGGCCGCCCCAAGGCGATGACGGCTCGCTCCGCTCCGTTTCCCTCCCACAAGGAAGTTCCAGCGCCCTCGAGACAGCCCCCCGACAGAACCCCGCGACGGCCCAGCGGCAGGCCGACCTGCCGGGCATCCTCGAGACTCTGCTCGAGTGGCTGGAGGCGCTGCCCGCGGAGGGGGGTCCGGGCCGCCCAGATGATGCGTGGCATCGTCGGGAGACCTCGCCTGTGCTGTACATGTCGGCGGTGAGCGAGGGAGGGAAGTGAGAATCGGGTCGGACGAAAGGGGGGGGTTAGGAAAAGGGGGTGCTACGAAATCTGCTACACGCAGCTGGTTTCGGCCCCACCGCCAGGCGCTTTCCTCGCTAACATTGGCGCCTCCAGCGCCGGGAGGCGCTGGGAAAATCAGCCACGTGAGCTGATTTGCCAACTCCCCCCCTTTGCTATCCCCCCCGATCGTGTGATCCGAGAGACGGAGCTGGCCTTCTCTGAAGGCTCGGAAGTCCCCTGGCCTTCTGAGATGTGTTCGAAGCCTTTCCGGAAGACACAGAACATCCCTCAGAAGGCGCGAGAGTTTCGACGTGGAGTCGACGCGGAATTCGACGCGGCGTCGGCGCGTTCGACACGGATTCGATGCAGATTCGGCGCGGATAGCAGGTCACCCGAAGGTGCAGCAAAACAAATGGGGCCGATCGCCAATCTGTCCGCAGTGTTTCGCCGGTTCTGGGTTCATGTGTCCTCCCTCCCTGCGCCAGTCCCCCCCCTCCGCTCCTCTTGGGTTATGATGTTCCAACCTACTTTAGCCTTGATCACCAGAAAGAATTTCGAGCACCAGAAAGGTACCCAAAAACTCGAGGGGTTTCACGTGTCGGGCCCTGGGAGACACTCGTCCGACACTGTTCCCACATTGTTTCGACACTCTTTCGACACTTTTCTGGGTGATCGAAATTATTTCTGGGATGTGGTCCTTACGTACGATGGGAGCAACATAACTCTTGGGATTGCGGCGGGAGGAGGAGGAGGAAGAGAGGAGGAGGAGGAGGAGGAAGAGGAGGAGGAAATTCCATCCAGGCCTCCCAAATGATGCCAGAGTCGATGGGGGGCTCGGAGGGTCGCACCGCATCGCCGATGCATCGGCGATGCGGCGCGATTTGGAGTCCGAGGTCCTCCAGCTCGACGTCGCCGGCGCATCGACGGTGCGGCGCGATCCTTCGACACCCCCTGCTCCGATCCACGTGGGGAGCCTCCAACCTTCCAGGAGCAAGGGCGCCCTCGAGGGCGCGAAGTTATTCGCGCTTCGCGGTTCGGTTCTGATTCCTCCTCACCCTCCACTTCTCCCCTGGGAGGCGGCGCGAGAGCGCGAAGCTATTCGCACTTCGCGCAGTGCGAAGCGCGCGAAGTTGGGAGCCCTTGAGGAGGGGGCAGGGGGCATTGTCCGTCTCTCGCCATCATGCCGCTGCTCTGGGAATCGTGACCGACAGCCCGCGAGGTCGGCCACGGGCAGAGGGGGGCAGGGGGGAGGGGGGAAGGCTTACGAGGAGCACCCCTGCTTCTCAGAAGGCGCGGGCCCTCCCTGCATCCCAAGAAGCAGGCTCCCGCTGGGAAGCCCGCCTCCCTCCCCCTGCAGTCAACACGCATAGCAAGGATGGGCAAGCTTCCCAAGGGTACCTTTGAATCCTTGCCTTCTCGGCCCATCCTTGGCCACTTTCGGTGGCCAGTCCATGGCCCTCGCATCCTTATCGCGCGTCCTTGCCATACCCAGGAGTGCAGGATTACATAATTTATGTAGTGATTTTTTTTGTATGTAACAAAAAAACGACTGGTACATTTTTAACAGCGAATTATGTTACGAACATGTTGATACATTTTTGTTATTGATTTTGTGTTGTTTATGCTCTCATGAGGTTTATGTATGTTATTGTGTGGTGTTGTATGATGTTTGAAATGGTTTGTTATGCTTTATACGATGCCAGCATGCGTTTTAGCTTGTTCAAAGACTTAGATGTGTATTGTAACGTTCCAAAGCAATGGCGGCTCGGGCCATTCAAAATCAAGATCTCGCCTCAGCGCCGTCTCCTTATAGAGCGCGTGAAAGCAATGTGATCCTGGACACGAAGCCTGGCGCGGGTTTGACTTACTGATGGCCCCCCAAAGAATGTTCGAGCCGTTCGGCTCGAGAGTTTCCCAAGGAAGCCCTCCCGACCGCCCGAGCAGCGGCGGTCGACTCGACATGTCGGACGCGGAGGGCGGCGACCTCGCGGGCAGCGGGGCGCCTCGTGGCAAAGGCGGGGGAGGGAGGATGAAGGAAGGATCGGTCGTCGGTCGTCGGTTGTCGATCGTCATTCGCTCATCGGTGTCGTTCGTCGGTCGTCGATCGATCGTCAGTCGTTTTTCGTTCGCCGACGTAGTCGCGAGTGAGAGGGCGGGTGAGTGAGACCAGGCGACGCCATGTTGCTCGCTGCCGCGGTCACCCCGCTGCTCCAGCGGGCGGGCAAGCCGAGCTTCTTGGTCTACGGCGAGGACGGGCGGAACTCCCCGCTGCAGGCCGAGAAGTTCTCAGAGCCCATCGTGAAGTTTTTCGGTGAGGTGCTCAGGATTGGAGGAGGAGGAGGAGGAGGAGGAGGACGGAGGACGGAGGAGGAGGGGGAGGGATGATGAGGAGGAGGAGGGATGAGGAAGAGGAGGAGGAGGAGGAGGAGGAAGAGGAGGAGGAGGAAGAAGAGGAGGAGTGATGATGATGATGATGATGATGATGATGATGATGATGATGATGATGATGATGGTGATGGTGATGATGATAATGATGATGATGATGATGATGAGGAGGAGGAGGAGCAGGAGGAGGAATGATGCTGATGATGATGATGATGATGAGGAGGAGGAGGAGGAGGAGGAGGAGGGGGGAGGAGGAGGACTACAGGAAGAGGAGGAACTGAGGATGATGATAGGCCCCACCCCCCTTCCCCCAGGAGGAAGCGGTGCGTCATCTCGGAGCTGAAGATCAACGACGTCGAGATGCAGGGGGCGCTGCACCAGGGGGCTCGCGCGGTCGGTTTCGGCATGACAGAGCGCGAGCTTTCGGACTGGAAGCGCACGATGAGCAAGCGCATCCGCACCATGGTGTGCCACATCAGGATCGCAGGGGGAAGGGATCACTCCTGCTCCTCCTCACCCCTGCTCTTCCTCCTCCTCCTCCTCCTCCTCCTCGTGCTCATCCTCCCCCTCCTTATCATCATGTTCTGTCTCCTGCTCCTCATCCTTCTCCTCCCCATCCTCCTCCTCCTCTCCCTCCCCCCCCTCAGCTCCGTGCTCCTGTTCGGCCGATGTGGAGGAAGAGGAGGAGGAGGGGGATTGCAGAAGTGGGAGGGTCATGAGCAGCAGCAGCAGCATGATAAGCAGAAGCAGTGGAAGCTACAGCAACAGCAGCAGCAGTAGTACGAGCAGCATCAAAAGCAGAAGGATGAGGACGAGGATGAATAGAAGGACCAGGCGGAGAGACAGGAGAGAAGGAAAAAGGATGAGGAGGAGGAAGATGAGGAGGAGGATCGAACGAGGAAGAGGACTACGAGAAGGAACGAGAGAGAGGGAGAGAGAGAGAGAGAGAGAGAGAGAGAGAGCAACAAAAGAGAGAGAGAGAGAGAGAGAGAGAGAGAGAGAGAGAGAGAGAGAGAGAGAGAGAGAGAGAACGCCCGCACCCGCAGGAAGTACGAGGACAAGGCAGGCTTCGCTGCGAGGATCAAGGCTGCAGCTGCTGATGATGATGATGATGATCACGCAGCCGAGGTTGTGCCAGTGATGAAGCGGCCAGCGGCCGCGATCAAGCGGCCAGCAGCTGCGATGACGCCCGACGACGACAAGACAGATCAGGGTGACGGCCAAGGCGATCGCGAGAAGAAGGACGACGACAAGACAGATCAGGGTGGCGGCGATGGCGGCCAGGACGCCAGCGGCGGTGGCAAGTGGAGCGACGACGACGGCTTGGCCGAGCCGAGCATGGCGGAGCTCATGGAGAGGATGGTCAGCCAGGCTGGGGATGGTGAGGGGGGGGGATGGAGACGGGTGATGGCGAAACGAAATGACGGGAAATGCCGACGACGGCGGAGGAGGAGGCCGGGAAGAGAGGATATAGAGGGAGAGGAGGGGCAATATAGAGAGGGGGGAGCGAGGGGAAGGGACGAACGTAACGACGAAGAGGAGGATCGAACGAGAGAGAGGGATCAAGAGAAGACGAGACAGAGAGGCAGAGAGGCAGAGAGAGAGAGAGAGAGAGAGAGAGAGAGAGAGAGAGAGAGTGAGAGGGAGAGAGAGAGAGAGAGAGAGAGAGAGAGAGAGAGAAGAGTAGGAGGAGGATGAGGATGAGGATGAGGAGGAGGAGGAGGAGGAGGATGAGGGCGTGGAAGGGACAGGGAGGAAGGGAAGGAGGAGGAGGAGAAGGAGGAGGAGGAGGAGGAGGAGGAGGATGAGGAGGGGGGGAGTGGGAGGGGGAGGGGGAGGGGAAGGAAGGAGGAGGGGGGGGAGGAGGAGGAGCAGGAGGAGGAGGAGGAGAACATACCTAAGTGAAACACTGCAGCTCCCCAGACAGGCTGCTCGCCCCCTTCGACAGCGTCTTTGTGGTGATGGCCATGCTGTGCTCCCTGGCGATGACGGTGCAGCGATCCCTGACGGTGCAGCGCTTCCTGGTGATGATGGTGCAGCGCGTCCTGGTGATGACGGTGCAGCTTCCCCTGGTGATGACGGAGCCGAGTCCGTTGACGGTGCAGCTTCCCCTGGTGACGACGGTGCTGGTTCCCTTGACGGTGCAGCTTCCCCTGGTGATGACGGCGCAGCGTCCCCTGGAGATGACGGTGCAGCTTCCCCTGGTGATGATGGTGCAGCTTCACCTGGTGATGATGGTGCAGCTTCGCCTGGTGATGACGGTGCAGCTACCCCTGGTGATGACGGTGCAGCTACCCCTGGTGCAGCTACCCCCAACCTCTACAAGTACGGGTGGGACGAGATCGCGAAGCAGGCGTGGCGCTCGACAAGCGGACATTCGGAACTGCAAATCAAAGGGATAGACCCCCCCAGGATGATGACGATGAGGAAGGCGAGGAGGTGGAGGAGGAGAGAAGGAGTAAGTGTTGAAGGAAGCGGGTGGAGGATGGATGAGGGGGGGAGGGGGA